AATTCTTCGTGAGGATCTGGCCTCTCATTTGTAATTGCTGGAATAATTAAGCTGAAATTCTGTTACTCTACCTGTTCTAACTGGGTACAAAGTGACTGATGACAATTTTTAAAGGCCATCCATTCATAAGAAAAATACAACCATACTTACAAGAAGCAATTCAAATTTCCTGCCATTATTACGATATACTTTTCATATTAACTTAGATTTGTTTCCATGTATCACCCTCCTATGAACTAGAATTTCTGAAATAACAAGCAACTCAGATCAGCCACTGAACACCATCTGTAAAAAGTTCTGAAAACATCCAGGTATCAGAAATGAGAGATATATGGGAGATGTTTTCGTGTCAACAGTCCTGTAAAAAGTATGAGCTAGATTTGCATGAACTGTGACAGTTAAAAGAGGACACAGTATTTCAGATGGTCTAAAAGTTGAGTTAGCGCCACTCAGTTGGTTCCCCTCTGAACTGCCATTTTTAATCTTCCTACACTACAGGGACAGATATTAAAAATGAGGTTACGGCTTTGCCTCTATGGAGAAAAGTGAAACATATGGATTAACTTCTTGAAAAACAGTTATATAAATGCTATGTCTGAAACAAGAAGTAATTTTATTTTGGAATAATTACTCCATTGGAATTATTTCACATGGGTAGCTCTTCTGAGCAAGGTCTGTCATATAATAAACTTGGTATAATATCTTCTACCACAAACACATGACACTAAATAGCCCCACAGATAGTATTAAAAGGCCTATAGTACTAATTGAAGACTAAAAGTAGAATTTAACCAGATCAACTAGCAATACAAAGGTAAAAAGGCAGATAACTACTCATGATTACCCATATCATCTTGAACAGTTTTACATCCCATTTTCCTTCTTAGAAAGGAAAAGAATCAACCCCTTTTTCTCAATCCAACTAGCTGTACAAAGAGAAGTAGCTAAAACATCCAATCTTGCTCATGAACAAAGATTTAGTTCTACCACCTGAAGCAAACTAATCACCAGCTTCTAAAGAGTTTGAAAGGCCAAACTTGAAATACTGAGTATAAATCAACAGAACTGAAAACTACGGAAACGTCTTAAAAGTGTTAATTTTTAAAAAGGGTGAATTCTTGTATGTGTTTCCCTGAACCCCTTCAGCAATTGTAATATTATTCCAAGAAATCTCTAGGCATACATTTTAAAAGTTTCTCCCTGGACTACACAAGAGTCTTTAATGTTGTTTCATCAGTTCTCATGAATCTGAGAGAATCCACCAAAACATGAGTGCAGTCAAAGAAACTGTACTTCGGGAGAACCAACTGTGATACTTGAAAATCTGATTTTTCATTATACTGATACACAAAATTAAAAATAGAAAAATGTTAAATTTCTTCTTTGAGTGAAATGTATTCTGTTGTGCTGCTAATAATCATTACCTAGAAAAGTAAATTAAAATTTGACACCCTCATATTTGTCAAGTGTTCAAAAGCTAATCAGCATCTGCTGAATGCTTCAGTATAAAGTATGACACATACTCAAAATTAACATCCAGACACCCAGATGTGTTTTCAAGTAACAGTCCATGGGCTAAACCAAAAGGACATGTTCCTCTGGATTGGTCTGTGCCAACTTTCTTGTGATAGTCAACAGGAGATGCAGACGGGAGCCAGGACCTCAATCCCACCCCTGCTCAGCCCAGTATGGCATTACTTTACCATTCCTTCTCTGGCTTCTGTTCCACGACTTACAAATTGTTAAGAATCTTGATCTAGGTGTTGCTAGCCTATCAACATTCTTGAGAATATGTACAGAAAATCTCCACTCCACCCTGTATTACATGTGACCAGAAATTCAATTCCCTCCCAGGATATGACACCAAAATACAGCCCCAAAATTCTATGTCTCTTCCAGAAACACTGGACACTTGATAAAAACACCATTATCTTGCCAAAATAAATGATTAACATGTAGATGTCATAAGGGATGCCACCCTATTCATTTGCTGTAAGTGGTTTTTGAACCTTGCCCTACAAGCTAAACTTAAACTCAGAATCCTTTTTCAGGCACTGTGATTTCTATCATGGAATTTAGATGACAGTTCACAAAATGACAGTGTAATAAAGTCCTTCAAAATGTGAAGGGAAGAACTGTGATAATTGTTTCACTTCAGATTACACTAAAAAAATGTTTGTTAAGGAAAATTTCTAGAATAAAACTCCCCACAAACAGGGTAAGATTTCTGGAGAAGATACACCCTGGCAGATGTGCAGTTCTTGTAAGGAATGTGATGCTCCTCTCAAAGCTGCTTAAACTTGATTTTATTTCAGGTCTGCAACTAAATTTTTTTTGTAAATAGATTTAGGCTGTCAATTTCCAGGCATGCTGTGCCATCAGCATGTAGAGACTGCTGTGACAAACGTGGAGGCTGCAGCAGCAAATTTTATTATAAACTGGTAATTGAATTGAACAGGTTTACATTTGAATAGATTTACTGCAGCATGATCTCTGACATGCTGCATGGGACTGAAATCCTTGTCTGTACATAAAGAAACATTTAAGATACAGCAAGAATTATTTCAGCTTATTTTAAGTCCATGCTAATCAATAAATTTATACCACTTTACATATGAAAGAAGCCAGTATATAATTTTTCTTCTTCTACTATACATAAAGTACGCGGTCAAAGCCAAATAGTCATCCCCAGACTTTCCCATAGGTAAAAACAACAACACCTGTCCCCAAAACTACCTTCCAACAAGAACACTAGAAAAAAAATCCTTGTTACAAGTACAGTCCTACAAATGTACCGTGAATTAGTATGGTTTCAAAAGTGGCCACTAAAGGGGGAAAGAAAATAAAATGCTCTTATAGATTCTTGTAGGTTGTCCTATTAGGTGGTAGATAAGTAACAGCTGAAAAGTTAAACTGACTCTCCCCTAAATTAAAAGGCTCAGTAATTAAAACCAAGTAGAAATCTTACTGTGTTTTGACAGGAAAAACCTCACATAACACGAATGGAAGAACTAAGATGTGCCCAAGAGTGAGGCTAACAAAGAAACCTTCTTTTCAAAGCAACTAGTCGTTTTGTCATTGTAGAACATTCAGGAAAAGATATGTACTTTAATAGCAGAAAATTTATGAAATTCTGATTAAGAAAACTTGTGGGATTAATTTGAATCCATGGACAAAGAACATTCATACAAAAAAATCTGACTCACAACACACATCTGAATTGTCTAACTAAATTATCTCAGTTAACAAAATTGTAGGCAGAAACACGGTAAATGTGTGCACAATTTTGGTAACTGAGATAATTACTCATTTGTAGAAGAGACACTTAACTTCCTCATGCAGTCCCAGAAGCTGCACACAGCCTAGACTTTTCAATATATATGTTAATGGATTTGCAATGGTGCCCTCAAAATTTAAAAGAAAAGGACTCTATCAATTTACCTGCATGTACTCTTGATAGCACTGTTTCGTTTCCAAACAAGTTGCCCAATGTATCTGAATATTAGGTTATTAATGGTATGGGGTCTTAACTTACTAAAAAAAGATGTTAGGAAGTACAGTCCCTTTCAGAAGGTGCCATACCCAGTCATCCTTTTCTTTCTGCAGTTTATCTAAGCATCCTAATTTCACTTTTAAGTAACTGCTCCTAGTGGTCAGTTATATGAGGATTTTGGCAAGTAAGAACTCTCCCATCACCACTGGAAGAGAGGGTCAAATCCTGCCATTCTTACTGAGGCAAAATCTCCATTGAATCTGACAGGAGTTTTGCTCAAGTAAGACTAAGGACAGCGGGATTTGGCTCACAGGATCATAGCATCTGCCAAAGCAGTTGCACAGAACAAGGTTTATTCTTAGTAAGTATAATCCAATAAGAATATGTCTGTAGGTGCGTGATAGACCTAATTTGCTCATCATCTCTCCACTGGTCTATGTTGTTCTTGCATTTTACCTTGATAGCTGTATACTTAAAACCTGTTTTAAATTACCATCAGATGATTTGCAAAAATCAGCCAGCTATTAAAGCTGAGTTTTTAAGCACTGACAAAGCAAAATTGCATAGAACTATTTTTAAAATGGTTGCTTAACACAAAGTGCTCTCCACTGGATATTAATATTTAGAGAACATTCCATTCATTTTATTTCAAATGTTTATCTAGTTCAGAAGTCCATGACATCTATCCTGGGAGTTACAGTGCTCTACAGTAACAGCACATACAATACATACACATAAAAATGTATTTTTGCATACACATTAACAGCACTACAAGTGCATAGCAGGCAACTAAGATTTAAGGAATTGCCTCTTTTAGTAATACACATGAATCAGGTTCCAGGTGAGACAGCACTGTTTCTTGAAAACATTTTCTTATGTTTACCTGTTATTCAATATCTTCAAAATGTAAATGATGAATTAAAACATTCAGCTTATACTTACAGTGAGGGATAGGGGTTCTCACATGCTTTAAGGAAAAAGAGAAAGGGGGACGGATTCTCCTCTTCTGCACGCCATTGTTTGCTTCAGTGTAGTTACAGTAACTTCAGTACACATACTCAATATTTATACTTGTTTAATTGAGAAGTAACCTTTTCGTTTGTCCTGATATAATGAAGACTGAGTAAAAACAGGGAAAAGAAGGCACAGTGTGTGTTTTGGTTTTCTGCCAGAACTGGGATAGACTAACAGTGGATAAGGAATAGAGAAAGGAAATCTTTTGAGAATTCTGATGATTATTTTATTAGTTACCTATTGAAGGAGATTGTCTGCTGAGGTACGTTTTTCTGTCCTATACAAGATTAGAAATACTCTGGAGATGATAAACTCTATGTGGATAAAGCATTTTCGATAGCTTAGAAGCAGACTATCAAAAAGAGCAAGTATACATGAAAATTGCCTTCTCAACAACTGATTAGAACACTCACCAGTCTCTCTTCTTTCCTGATTGCCCTACAGTTGTTGCATGTGTTTGCAGAGAGATACACATTGAGTTGGTCAGTCTTACCTTCTTTCAGCATGCCAACTTTTAGACACTTCATGAAGCGGCAGGCTTGGCAGGACTTGCGTCTGCGCTTCGTGATTTCACATTCATTCGTTGCTGGGCAGCTGTATTCTATGTTACCTGCAGCAGAAAGTACAGGAAAAGAAGAGTTCAGAGTCACTGACTAACCAGCACAAGGGACATACTAAGCACTCATAAAACTGCTGTTGTGTTTCATTTTGGAATGTATCAAGAGTAAACAGTGCTTCAGAAAGGAAACACCTTGCCAGTAAAAATGAACAGCTGAGTTAAAAGATGAGGTTTCCTCCCCCCCCTTTTTTTTTAAATAATCTAGACATCTATATGAAAGAAATATATACAAAGCCACAACTAATGTGAGTCTGTGTCTGACTCCACACATGGTCCCTAGCAAAATCCTTCAAACAGGTTATTCCTGATGATAAAAGGAAGAAATGTTGTCTTTTTTTCTTTTGTACCAAACCACATGCTTAGCTCCTAGTCTGAGCACTCTTCATTTTCCTTTTTTTGCCAATTTAATTAGCCTTTCTTTGCTTAGAATACAAAAAGAGGACTGAATATGCTTTACTGCACAATCAACTGTACCAGGTACTACAGAGTTTCACCCTTCTATTTCCTCTACAGCAGGCACAGTGTATCAGGCAGGGCTCGCCAGCATTGCTATCACCACATCTAGCATGTTCTACAGCTGCCAGGTCAGATCTCTCCTCCAGGACATCTCCCCTTCCCTCTATACTTCAGACCAAGTTTTTGTACTGAGAAGCATCAGGAACAGGATCATTCTTGCCAAGCTGTCAGAATAACAAAAACTGGAAGAGGTGCTTGCCTTTGTGTCTCCCTCTCCCAACTCTCCTTAAGGTCTAAAACAAGATAGATCCTTAAATGTGAGCCCTCCTGGGCAAAACAGTCTCTTCATTTTTTTTCCCTTGTGGTTACTGCTTAGTACATATTATTTTGCCTCAAAAATAATAAAATTAAAGCCTATAAATGAAAGAGTAAAATACATATGACTGACTTTCTTTATGGTTTTTTTTAAGTCACATCTTTGGGCATGCAAGTCCAAATGGGAGAACATCTGTTCTCTTTTGCCCTAGTATCACTGTACTTTTCATAAAACAGCTTAGCTCAGCTTACTAATCTGCCCAACCATGCATCCTATTGCCCATGACTACATTCAGTATGACAGACAGACCTTGCAGCAGTCAGAAGTTTCACCAGGAAACTGAGTTTTGAATAAAGTATCTTCCCCATCAGGTTGTCACATCTTGCTTTAAAGGTATTTCTTTATTTTCTAACCCTTTCCCCCTGTGATTAAGTGCATTAGTATCTTAATGAAAATGCATTCTGTTTATTGCCCTCTTGGGAAGCAAGAGGTCATCACACCAAATGCATAAATTGTCATCAGAGACAGTCCGAGCATAATTGCAATTTTGCTGCTCCATGTTTGCTGCACTCAGGGTCCATCAAAGTCCCCTGAAACATGCGCAGGTTCTAATAATTAGCATAGAGTCTGCCTGGGACCACAGCATTGATGAAATATTTCAGAGTTAATCACACTTTGTAAACACTGATTTATATTGACTACCTTTCTCCAGACTGATGTCTCCTCATTAAATATCACATTAGTGGATTGCAGGATTGCACAAAGACTCAAATGCTCAGCAACTGCTAATTCAACAGGAAATAATACTTAAACCACTTACATCTATTGAAAATTGGTTAAGTATTTATGATAAAGGAGTTCTGCGCGGTGCAATGCGTATTCTGCCAACAGAGCTAGCACACTTGGCAGAACCTTTTCAGGCCTTTGTAGTCTTTCTTCCTTCTGGACACTGCTGCATGAGTGGATTAGCAATGTTGGTGAGTAAAACAGATCTTGGTATGTTTGAATGCTAATAGATCTTGTTGACAAAACTCAAACCAGTTTGGTCCTCTTCCCCTTCCTTAGCTCCTATCAAGAAAGCATTTAAGAAACTGCAGGATCCAGTGGGTAGGGAATTCAGCTTAACAGTTCTTGCGAAACTTCTTTCTGATACACATTAGAAAAGTTAGGAAATAACACTTTTGGAAAGATACATAGAAAACAATGGTAAGGGCAAACTTAAAAAAAGACTCATATTATCCTCTCACTCCAGTCAAGTATTCTTAGTAAGGCACAACCACTACATAGGAAGACCTTCAAAGCCTTTCACAAATTGTATCTAATTAACTTCATTATATTATAGTAATATATGTATTACCATCTCTACTTAAAAAAAAAAAACCAAAACGGGGAATCAGAAATGCTTTGCACAAGATCAAAGATATCTTTGCACAAGGTCAGAAATGATCTTGATCAAAAGCAAGATCGAGATTACAACACAGAACTTCAAGCACCAAAGCTCTGTACCAGGGCAGGCGGAGCACTCCCACTGTAGCCAGAGCCCTTGTTTAAAGGCACAAAGGTACAGATGTTGACATCAAAAAGTAGCATTCAGAAGGAGAAAAATATTGCTCATTTTCTTAAGCAGACACTTCTAATCCACACCCTGACATTTCACATTTGCAGAGTGCAACAGTCTAGCATGCAGCACATTATGCACAATGTATCTTATTTTTCCTGTAAATTCTTGTCACCTAAAGAATGCTAAAAGGAGCTATTATTCTAGCCACTTAAAATTCCACTACTTTAGCTTAGAGGGGGAATCTCCTTTCAATTTTGGCTGCTTTACTTTAATGAATTGTATTTTACAGCAGATGTTCAATCTTCGTTTTTGCTGTTGGAAAATAAACTTTGAAGATGTTGCAAAGAATTTCTCCAATGAGCTCATCAGTAGAGTTACAGTAGCAGCAGCAAAGATCCACATCTTACCAGCGGCCACAGCTTGTTCCCCTAAAGCGTTTCAGCAGCTTAGAATATGGCTAGACCACAGCAAGAGGTCAAGGAACTAATGTTTAGTCACCACTTCACATAGAAATGCAGTGGATAGGTATCTAGATATATATCATACTCAAAATGTGTTTTACCTACCACTCTTAGTATTAATGGATATATTTCCAGCAAAAAAAAAAGAATTTACTGCACTTTTCAGGTCATTAGAGCTCTCATAATTTCTTATTTACTTCTATACATGAATTTCATAGGTACACTATATCCATCCAAGATACTCAGATCTGCATTTTATTTCAATAATCATGATCCAGAAGGAAGCTCTACCATTTACTTGCTTACCTCATGATGCTAGAGGCTGAAACTAAGCAGCTAGAAAAAGTGTAAGATGGGTTTGCCCAGTCCTGTCAACAGCTGGAGAGGTAGCTGTGTTATACAGTGAACAAAATCAACATGGCAGCTCCGGGTCTTTAAACTGGGCTGACAAGAACGATTGAGCAATTTATAATATCTCCTGGCTGGTTTTCAGAAAGAACTGGGCTCTGATTACTTATTTCAGACTCTTTTGTACAATTAGTTTGCTGGCAATATAATTTTCTCACTTACTCCTTAATAGAATCGTGCAGCTAGCTGGCTGATAGAATAACAGTGTATATGTAAAACTCCTGCCTGAAGTGCCAGGGGATAATTTGTATATTCCTTTCAGTAGCGTAATGGACTTTTACAGTTTGGCAGTTAAAGGGCTGAGTAATGTAAATTAGTATGACGCCTGAAAATAAAAATATATGTCAAATTTTCACTCCCCAAACACACTGCTCTGTGTTAGAATAATACAATGGGATTTATGTTAGCCTGAGTCCCTTTTCCCTCCTCATGTACTGAGGAATGTTTATTTAAAATTAGTTCCCTTTTCTACTCATTTATTAAATTTTATTATCTCAGCCAAAAGATGAGGAAATACTTCTAACATTGTTGCCTATCAAGAGCAATTGACTCACTAAAAACATGATTTCATTTGATCCTGAGAGAGCAGATGAACTGCTAAAACTTACTTAAAGCTGTATACCCAGCTCTATGGTTTTAGCTGCTTCAGACTGTCACATCTTTATAAACAGCTCAGGGATAAGTGGGCCGAGGGTACCATCTTTTTTACTTCACAGATGAGGTTCGGATGTTACCAGAACGAGATGTGGAGAAGCAGTGCAGTTTTAATGGTACAGGGTCTTACTCGATGGCTTTACAAGACAGGCAACTGACTGGAATTAACCAAGATTCTCAAAACCATTTTGGCCATTTCTTGCATAGAATTGACAGTGACACTAAAGGTAACAGGAGGAGAGAGAACCATGACAATGAAGAAATCTCTGAAAGCACCAGGCCTCATGCCTTGGCTTAAATTATTGTCATCAACAGTTACAACTTTAAAACCTCATAGATACCAAGAATGAGAAGGTGGCTCTAGAAACAGGCTGCCGTCTGTGGGACAGGCTGAAACAGGGGTCTCTCTTCCAGCAACACTGGCAAAAAAAGCTGCAGACAGCAAGTCTTAGCAGAAACTTTATTTCCCTTTTCATACTGTAATATTCGATATTATAACACTAAATATGTACAAGGATCGCTAAAAGCTATTAGGATATGCTCAGAAAATCTTTGGACAAGTAGAAGATATGAGGAAGACTGAGATACAGGGTGAAAATGTGTTTGGAAGGAGTAGCCATGACCAACTTAAAAAAGCAGGAGGAACACTGCAGATATCAGTATTGAAATTTTTACCGTGTGGGAATGTAGGTTTAAAAGAAAAAAAAAAAAAAAAGAAAAAAGAAGAAAAAAACCAAACCAACCACCAATCCTTCAATGTAACAATTTTACGCTATAATCAGCTCATGGAACTTCATTTTAATGTCTCTACTTCTATTTAATAATGCTCCATTTTGTCCCAAACTTTCTCTTTGACCTATTGTAACTTAATACCTTTTTTTCCAAAAACTTGTATTTAAAAAACAAGTGTTCTCATTACTCTTCACAGAGACTACTGCATCGCTGGATTTAAGCCTTTCTGCAGTGAGGTTTACCCCAGCTACCACCTTCACGCTCTCTTTTCCTGGGTGACAGACCCAAAGGAATACACCTGCTTGTCTGTGGGCTCGTACACATGAAAACTCTGAAAATGAAAAGTAGCCAGGATTACAGCCATGGGTCTTCCAGGATTTAATAAAAGAGAAATTTTAGAAAG